CCCCACCCCATCAAGGAGGGATTGCTGTATTGTGGCAGTGACGTGACACTGAGCCTCTCCCGCAGGCCTCGCTGATCACCGAGTACGCCAGCGTGGTGCAGCCCATCCAGTTGGCCTTCCAGCAGCAGGTCCAAGTCCTCAAGAGCCAGCACGAAGACTTTGTGGCCAGCCTCAAGCAGCAGCCCGCCCCCCAGCTGCCGCCGCCGGCTGCTGATGCAGAAAAGCCCGTCACCGCGCCAGCAGGTGACCCCTTTGCTGCCTGTGTTCTGTGAAGTCCAGAACCCATTAGGAGAATAGCAATCTCACATGGCCTGTACAAACCGGGTGCCCGCGAAAAAATAGTCTCGGAGGGCTCAGAAGACGACAAACCTATGAAATCCCTCTCCCATTTCTCATTTGTATAAACGCAACAGCAGCATCAAATCTCAGGATATAAATCTCATGTCAAATGTAAGGTGTGACATCACAACGTTGAACATGATGGAAGCTATGCATTGTCACATTTGTCATTATTTGAAGTGACTTTTGCCATGCCATGTGAAATTATTTTATGTGTGATGCCATGGCCCCGTATTCCATATGGATCATGATTGTTGTCATGATGCCATTATTTGACATTTTCTATACATTTCATTTTGTCATGACATGGACGACTGTCACGCTTGTGGCTATTTTTATTATTTTTTATTTTTTTTTGCAGCCGAGGTGAAGCCCCCTATGTCGGGTCCTCCGCCCGGGGACTTTGACGAAGCTCCGTCGAGACCCCAGGATCCCAGCAACTCCGGCGGACCCTCGGACCTCCCCCCCAAGCCCGCGTGGTACGACCCCCAGCACATGGGCCCGTGGAACCCCAGCCAACCGGTAAAAAAATGCCATCAACAGTCTGCCGCTCGAACCGATCAAGTGGGTCAGGTCGTCCCGGCAGCCCCACCCCCTCACCTCATTTGTCCCCTCAGCCTCCTTTCGACCCCAACCAGCCGCCGCCTCCGTGTCCGCCCTGGAACAGCCACGAGGGGATGTGGAATGACCAGAGGGAGCCGGGCAACTGGAGCGGGGGTCCGCCCAGAGAAGGCGGCCCCTGGAGCGGTCCCGATCCGGGTCCCCCTTCTTGGAATTCGTACGACCAGCAGCCTCCATGGGGGAACCAGCCTGAGCAGCCGCCCTGGGGTCAGAGGGAGCCGCCCTTTCCGCCCCGCATGCAGGTACGAGACACACGGCCACACGCACACTTACTTTCTGTCGACAACAAACCTTCGACCGTTTTGTTTTGTTTGACAGAGGCCTCCCCACTTCAGAGGCCCCTTCCCGCCCCACCAGCAGCCGCCGCCCTTCAACCAGCCCCCGCCGCCGCACTCTTTCGGACGCTTCCCGTCGCGCTTCATGCAGGACGACTTCCCGCCGCGACACCACTATGACCGGGCGCCCTACACGCCCCACCGTTTCGACTACTCTCAGGGGGACTTCCCCAGAGGTGGGTGGGCCACCACGCTTAATGCTAACAAATAACAGAAAATGAGCATTGACGTTGGGAACATTCAAACGGCTGCCGCGTAAAGTTCAGTTCACTAAACGGCGCTCTCTGTGCATTCTCATCTCGTTGGTCCGCTACCAGACATGCCGGGCCCGCCGCCGCCTCCTCCCCACCACTCCAGCCAGAGACCGCCTCCCTCCGGCATGGGGGGTGACCATCCTCCGTGGGGCGGGGGGCAGCACCCGGACTACGGGCCGCCTCCCCCCCACGGCTTCAACGGCCACTCGCCGCACGTGCGCCACCGGCAGCCTCCGGTTCCCGTCCAGGACGATCCTAGCCTGGTGCCCAACGTCCCGTACTTCGACCTCCCCGCTGGCCTGATGGCGCCGCTGGTCAAAGTGAGTCCGGCAGAACTGCAGTGGAGACGAGGTGGAAACAATCGCGTGTGACTGCACCCCGTGCGTGGGCTTGCAAAATTTCCAGAAGGCGTCCTCTGAATTTTGGAGAATCCGTTTTCCCAATTGGAAACTTTCCATGATGAGAAGCGGGGAATCGAGGGTACTTGAATGAGATCAATCGAACGTCAGTAAATTGCGACGTTCCCGCTAGTTCTCATGGAAAATTCCGGCATGGGAGCATTTGGCGACCCCAACTGACTTTGTTCTCTGCAGCTGGAGGACTGTGACTATAAAGCTCTGGATCCAAAAGACATCCGCCTGCCACCGCCCATGCCTCCCAGCGAACGCTTGCTGGCCGCCGTGGAAGCTTTCTACAGCCCCCCCTCCCACGACCGCCCGCGCAACAGGTATGCACGTCGCTCCATTGACTTGTCCGCGAGCTTCCGGACCCTCGTGAAGTCTTCCTTCTCTGCGCTCCGCCAGTGAAGGATGGGAACAGAACGGCCTCTACGAGTTCTTCCGGGCCAAGATGAGAGCGCGCAGGAAAAAAGGTCAAGAGAAACGCAACAGGTGCATTTGCCACGTTACGCGGGCATATTTCTGTGTCTCGAAAGAGGAAGCTCAGAGTAGACTTTTTTTTGGGGGGGGGGGGGGGGGGGGGGACCAGTTACTGGTGTGGGTTCATCTTAGCTAGTTCTACTGGGTACACAGCAGGGACCCCAAACCAAACTGTTTCATTTTATTTATGTAGTCTGAGAGTGGAGCAGATTTGCCATTGACTTGATACTTTGTGGTCGTTGCTCAGCGTTCGCATGAGCAGTCGTTCCAGGAGTCGCTCGGGCAGCCGGGGCCGATCTTCCTCACGGTCCAGTTCTCGCTCCTCCAAGTCCAAGTCCAGGTCCAGGTCCAGATCTAGGTCCAGGTCTCGCTCCTCGCATTCCCGAAGCCGCTCACGATCCTACTCGCGCTCCAGGTTTGAGCGCCCTACCGCTACGTGCCGTGTGCTACGTGCTCCATGCCGCATGCTACATGTTGAGTGTAAACTGTACGTCCGCAGGTCCAGAAGTGGATCGAGGTCGTCTCGGAGTCGCTCTCGCTCCAGGTCGCGTTCACGCTCGCCCGCCAGGAGGCGCCGAGGACATAAGTCGCGCAGCTCCTCACCGCCGTGAGTACATGCTAACTTGATCAGCGACATGTTGTACAATAACTTCAATAATAACACATTGAGTTATTAGACAGTAACTTTTAGCTGCATTAATTCATTGTATAGTAATAATTAATTTAACTCTTAGGAATGTACTGTACAGGAACATTATTTGTAAGAGTATCTATTAGTAGCAGATTGTACGGTAACTTTTGGTAAAACACATTGTAGAGAGATTAGTCCATTAACTCTGAAGTCATTTTAACGAGCACTTGTGGCAGCTCCACGTCGTCCGCGGGTGTCGCCTCCTCCAAAGGTCCTCCAGATTCCCGCCTGGGTGAGGAAAACAAAGGACATCAGCTCCTCATGAAGATGGGTAAGATGCGCGTGCGCTTGTGGCGGCGCGTAGCCTGCCCTTCACCCATTTGCGTGCCTGCCTTCAGGCTGGAGTGGGTCCGGCGGTCTGGGTGCCAAGGAGCAGGGCATCCAGGACCCCATCAAAGGAGGAGACATCCGCGACAAGTGGGACCAGTACAAGGGCGTCGGCGTCTCCCTGGACGACCCCTACGAGAACTATCGCAGGAACAAGAGCTTCAACTTTGTGGCGCGCATGAAGGCGCGAGAGGAAGGTACACATGCACACGCACGCACACACGCACCAAAAGTGGCGATTCACGTCAACAGGGAGTGATTGCGAACACACAAAGTCCAACTACTGTCCGCTTTTGCTTCAGTGAACCGAGAACCTCAGGAGGCTCCTCCCGCAGAATGAAGTCATCAAAGAGCACCCCGCCACCATCACTGTTTCTTACTTGTCACCCTTACCGCTGTCATTAATGACATATTTCTGTCTACTTTTCAGTGTGATGATTTTTTTTCCTCATAATTTCAATGACATTTATTTGTAAAACAGTCATATAGTGATAGCAAGTGTTGTGCATACTGAAGCAAAATAAACAACTTGTACTCAAAAATGTGACTTAGTTTAATGTATTTTGCAACAGAAATAGAATTGTTTTCTTTTGCTCAAGTGGAAAGTTGTGAATAGCTCTGATTCTGTCACTCAAAACTGAGCATTGGGTTGAAAAGGCACTTTCTGACTGTGCTACTATCCCTCAAAATAAGGAATTGTATATATATTTTTTTTAAACAAGACTTTTTAATTGAAATATCAGCTTAGGAAGGAAATTCCGTCTGTGCGGTATGTTGCACATGTAGCACATTTGACAATAAAGTTGACTTGAACTTAAACATTTTCCAGACCAGGGGTGTCAAACCCATTTTCGTCACGGGCCACATTTTAGTGATCATTTCCCTTGGGGGGGCATTATGATTGACATCATATAAGGAAGTGAAGAATAACGTTTAAATTACTCTGAGGTGTTTGGCCATATCTCTTATTTATTTCATATGAGAATTTTTGATACATATTTTAGCAAGCATCATGGAAGTTGCCATGTTTTGATTTGCTTTCGCGGGGCACGTGAATGCAGTAACCAAATGAGCCACAGGGGGCAGTGTGGCACAACAAATGGAGTCCGCACCCGCTTGATCTCATATCGTAAAATGAATCTGATATCGTCGGGTTAAGGTTGTGAGGATGTGATACGAGGTTTTACCTTCTGCTCCGGTGGTTCATATTTCATATATAACAAACATCACAGTGTATTTCGGTAAAGTGACGAGACTGAAATATTTGCACATTCACGCACTGATTATGAAAAAAATAATGAAGTACGGGTCTCTGGAGTATTATTTGCGTTATTTTCGGGGTGTACGCCGCCTACTGCCCAAAGACTGCTGGGTTAGGGCAAGCTCAAGCACGCCCGCGACCCTGGTGTCGATAAAGGAAGTTTAACGGATGGGATTTTGTCTTCAGGTCTGCTGAAGAAGGGCTCGTGAAGTGTGGTCTCTCCGAGCCACCGTAGTGCGCGTGCCTCAAAACGGGTCGTTGCAATTGATTAGTTCACCACAAGGCAGCGCTCCATTCCCCACATTGGATTTTTAATTTGAGTTAAAAAGAAGAGAATGCCTCATAATTAAACGTTCAATTTAAGGAAAGGAAATAAAATTCAATCATCGACCGTCCATCCATCCATTTTCTCATCGGTTTAGCTTCACAAGGGTCGCGGATAATTGACTGCGTTCCGTTCTACTTTTGAGGAATCGTCAACACGTCTGAGCCACGCCGCCTCCCGTCTTAAGTTCAGCAAGTAAGATGGCTGATGGACCTCAGGTGGAGAGACTTGACAAAGGTTCGGGGTGCCCAAGCCATCCCAAAAAGGTTGGGAACCGCTGCCCCAAGAAGCGCCACAGGCGTGCCGTGGAACAGGTCGCTACAAAATTTGACCCCTTTTTCTTTTTGGGCGAGTGTTGTGCGGCAAGTGGAGTATTTGGTGAATCGCTGTGATTTTCGGGCGAGCCTCAAAGCTCCCGTTGCCGAAGCAACGGTAGCCATTTGTGATTGGTCAGCTTTCGCTCTTAATGCTCAATCCGATTGGTTCCGGGCGCTGCCGTCTGCAAACGCTTGACGTCGAGCGGCTCTTCGATTGGCTGCGCTGGTCGCCGAGCAAGCGGCTCGTCGAGGTTTTTCCAAGCTTCTGTTTGCAAAGTTTTGCTGGCTTCATCTCCCGATGGCCCGTTGCTGAACCCATAAAGTTAGGAGAATGCAGAGAGCGTAAATCCGCCGCTGTTGTTGCTTCACCATGGAGGAACGTCATCACGCGAGGCAAGTGGGGCTGCACTTTTATGGTTTGTGCTCCTTTGTTGACAGCGTTCGAATGGCTGGGTGGTCGGTTTGCGCGGTGCTGTCAATACTTGTTCCAAAAAGGCTCCTCCTGCTGTGTGTCGTAGAGAGCCCGAGACGTCTCCGGCGCGGCGTGCCCTCAGCGATGATTTGGCCAGTTCGGCGCAGTCTCCGGCAGAGGACGGCGGGCACAGTGGAAGCATCCGAAAGGCAAGGCGGGACATAACAGTGGAAAAGAGTTTGAGTTTCAAACGAGCGGGCGGGCGCTTTTGTAGTCATCGGCTTTCTCGCGACCTCCCGATCATTTCTCGGGAGCAGGTCGGCAGCTGGCAACGGAGGCTAATCCTCCCCCCGCAGCCACTTGGCGGATTACTCGACCAGTGTCGGAGCGGAGCAACATTTGAAGGGTGCCGAGGGGACGAACTGCATCGGGCCACAGGCCGTCGATTGCTGAGGACATCCATCAGTTGTCGCGGTCGTCAGCTGAATCGCGCCTCGCTAGTTTTCGGAGTTTGGTCATGTGACTTTTCGCCAGCCGCGGTGTGATTTTCTGGACCGCGCTGACCCGCCCTCAACTCTCCTCTGCAGGGATGCGACCCTTTTGCCCAATCGCAACGCGGCCAGCTGCAGAACAGGCGAGCTCGCATCAATCAGCAAATCAACAAAGAAATGCGCATGCGGGCTGGAGCCGAGAACCTGTTCAGGTGAGCTGCCGTGCCAAATTTTTGCCCCGTGCCCTTTGCTATCCTCGGGCGAAAGACATTTTGCTCTCGTGTGCGGCGTTTGAAAGCCCCACATTTACTCTTGTGCATTTGTAGACTACATGAAACAGTCAACGTTACCGCTGCAAAGTCTCCCAGTGCTCTTAACGCTCCAAATTCAAGAATGTGTATCTCCGAATTCGGAGCCCAGCGCCACTCTTGGGGTGGGGCGTGGGGGGACGGACAAAAACCAAAAAAACTTCTTGAATGGAGCCGGAGGGATTGATATTCTCGTCAAATTGCAACAACTTGCGCGCGAGGCTTCGGGCGTCACCGTTTTCGCTTCCCAGTTGTACTTCTTCCGGTCAGATGCCAAGTCCATGGCCGCATGTGGCTTTTGAAATTTTTTCTTAGGGCAACCACAAACACCAAAGTTAAAGAGACGGTGGCTCTGGAACTCAGCTATGTGAACTCCAGTCTGCAGTTGCTCAAGGAAGAGCTGGAGGATCTGAACAGCAACGTGGAAGTCTATCAGACAGAGAGGTCCGGACATCGACGCACCGCCGCATCGTTTCAAGTCAGACGATTGAGACCGGCGCTCTCTCCCCTCCTCTCCACAGTGAGGCCGCGAAGGCGCCGATGATCCCGTTGGGCTTGAAAGAAACCAAGGAAGCCGACTTCACCGCCCCCATCCAGGTAAAGACGGCCCCGTCTCCCGCCTCTCCCGCGCCCGCCCGTTCGCTCGGTGGGACGGCTCGAGGCACTCTTCCCGTCTGCGCGACACGGACGGCGTCGCTCTCCTTCGCGTCAGCCGTGTTGGGCGATTTCATTCCGACCGGTGTCGCCTCGCAGGACTTCATCTGCCAGCACTACGGAGAGGACGGCTCGCTCTATCGAGAGGAGATCCGAGAGCTGATGGACCTCAGGCAGGTGAAGAGACTTGAAAGCGAGCCACTCCTTTTCAATGTGGGCTTCCTCCTTTGAAGTAGCGCGCCCCTCGGAAACCCGAAAGCTCCGCAAAGTCGCAGTTCAACAAAGGCGGTTTTGTGTTCTCGGTTGTATTTATTGATTGATTTTGCTTTCGTTGCTTTTGGGTGTAGGCAATGCGCACTCCCAGTCGCAACCAGACCGGGTTGGACTTACTGATGGAATACTACAACCAGCTGTACTACCTGGATCAGCGCTTCTTTCCCCCGCACAGGAACCTGGGCGTGCACTTCCACTGGTATGACCAAAGCGGCTTTCGCTTTCAAAAAGGGTGGAGGGCTCCAATTTCGTAGACGACATTTTCACGGCAGTTTGGAAATTTGGCAAGGGTGTTTTCTTCCCATTTGGTGGCCGAAAGTCAGACTCAAGTTAGCGCAAGCTCCCAAATTGGTGGACCCCGTTTGAGGGGTCCCAATTTCCTCTCCTTTTTTTTTTTTTTTGGGGGGGGGGCAGTTAACCGTACTCAGGGGTTTGGCGTGGCGGTCCTTCGGGATCACCGTGTTCAAATGCTCCTAGCCCCGAATAGTCACGATATCATCTGATACATTTCAGGGATTATTTCATATCGACCGCCTTTATGCTGTTTGATTGAAGACTTGCGGAAGATATTATTTCTGTACAGTACAGTTGTTTTGCATCATCGTATGAAATTTCGGCATCTGTAAGGTACGCGGGGGGGCCCCCCGAGACGCTGCCGTAGGGGTCCGGAGCCACCGGGCCACCGTTAACTGTGGTTTGTGTCCCAGGTACGACTCGCTGACCGGCGTTCCCTCGTGTCAGCGTGCATTAGCCTTTGAGAAGGGCAGCGTGTTGTTCAACCTCGGCGCTCTGTACACGCAAATCGGAGCACGCCAGGATCGGACCACCGCAGCCGGCATCCAGCGAGCCATCGATGCATTTCAGAGAGCCGCAGGTACTCCAAGCAGAGCTGACCGCACGCCAAAAGCCAAATGCCGGATTCCCCGAAAGCGCGTCGTTTGCTCCGTTTTGCCGTACGCAGATTGCGGGTGCGTGTTCATTTTTTTGCATCCGTTTCCTTTTCCCTGCGTCTGTTTAGGCGCGTTGAATTATCTGAAAGAGAATTTCTCCAACGCTCCGAGTCTGGACATGAGCGGGCCGGCGCTCTGCATGTTGGTGCGGCTCATGGTGGCCCAAGTGCAGGAGTGCGCGTTCGAAAGCCTGGCGCTGGGCGGCGCACGGGACGGCGACGCCTCCTCGACGTCCTCGCTGCGCCTGGCGCAAGAGGCCGCGCGGGTGAGCGCGCGCCCTCCGCGCGCTTCGGCGAGCCG